CGAAGCAGAGATTGAATTCCACTCCTCCCCATTTCTCTGCCCTCAAGTCCTTACCATAAGCTGACCAACATCCTCAGATTTCTTGTACCCTAAATGTAGAAGTCCAGGCATCCAAATTCACTTCCACATTTTTTTTTATTTCCAAAGCAAGCCTCTTATCCCAGCTAGCCTTTTTTCTTTGTGTGAGGCTTTTACCATTTACAATCTAAACTAAACTAGGTGTTCTCTAACCCCATTTTATTTCAGTGCTAATCACATCAGTATCTGCACCCAGGTTCTTGTAGGAGATGGCCTGAAGGGACCACAGAGCTGCTGCCAGCCAAATGAGCTGCAGGACTCATGTTTGGAAATAATAGATCTCTCCACCTGTCTGCTTTAGGAACCACTGTAGAGTCTTCAAGGAACCCAAGTGTCATCTGAAATGCAATCACAGAGCACAGCTGCAGCAAACTTAGCACACTGATTGAAACCAAAGCTGAATGCTCTATAGCAACCACTCGGAGTGCATCAAGCTTCCACAGAAGCAGCTGGCTGTCCAGTCCTTTTAAAATAAGGCCGCTTATTTAGGCACCTAGTAATAGAATAGGGAAGTTTTTTCTAGGCTGTGTTGGCATGAATGTGCACGTACCACTGGTCATTTCATTTTATTTCAATTTTGATTGCAAATCATTTATGCTTATTCTGAAATAAAATGGCTATCAGGCAGAGCAGGAGACTAAGGAAATTACCCAGAACATGATAAAGAGAAACAGTAGCAGTTAGTATCCACTGCACCAGCAGCAGAACGTGCACACTCAGGTTATTTATGAAGAGGTGGTGCCTATCTGAAGCAGATGCCCAGCTGCCAGCACACACATTTTATCATAATGCCCCTGATATTTACAGCTTTTCATAAATCCCTGCCTCCTGGATTCATGAGGATTGAGAGATTTTTAGATTCTAAAATGCCCCAATTTCCAAGTCAGTTAGGGGGTCTGATACACACATTTTGGACACATAGCATCAGTTTGAATAAGGAAATGCATTTTTCAAAACATGTCAGATATCCCTTTAAGACTGTAATTAGGGCCTGATTTTAAAACCACCTCCAGGCAACCTTCAAGTTTTGCAGGCATAATTATGTGCGGATGCAAAGCTAGAGGCTGTTTATGAACAGTAGACCTTTAATGTTTTATTTTCTGGCTGCATGTCCTGTAGTTTTCTGTATCCTGTTAATGTAGATTTTTCCCAGCATTAATGGAGACTGCCCTTTGCGAGGCGCTGAGTTATTCCCAAGAAGTGCACTCTGCTACAAAGTGGAATATGTCCAGGAATGAAAAGGCTGTAAACAACTATTTATTCCACTTCCACTGCAGATCTAGAAGGTTCTGTTCAAAATAGAAACTAAACCATGCCTCAGACACACCCTGCTGCAACCAACATGGTTAGTGGCTAACACAGAGGCTCAGGATTTCTATCAGCATCAGTCTTGGCAAGCTACTGCAATGGGAAGGCAGCTCCTGCCCAGACCTTCCCTGCTGGGCAGCCCAGTTCTGGGCTGCTCCTGGCTGATGGCCACTTTTCTCAGAGTTTAGGATTAAAGGCATAAAGCAGAATTAGATACTACTAGATTAGGATCGAATTAGGGTTGCTGAATCAGTTCCAAGATGAGATAGCCAAGGTGAAATACCCTGGGTTTACAATGCTGCCAAGTCATACAGTCTTCTGTCTTACTCATAACTTCTTACATACTCCAGGCCCGTGGATGCTGCAGCTGATGTGACCCTGCAACAACACAACTGGAGTCACTGCAGCAGTGGCTAGGACAATCTAGGGCAGGGATGGAAAGTCCCCATTGCACAAACTCTTCCCAAGTCCGTAGAGGCTTCTCTGCAGCAGATAAAGTTCTGATAAAACCTGGCCCAAGTGAGTAGCATGAAGCCTCCCTAGAGATGAGCTATCATTGAAGAAACTTGACCAGTTGAATAAGAAATCCAAGTACGTCCAGTGTTTACTCTCCAACTGCTCATGCTGCCCAGGGTGTATCACTGCCTGCAGACATTTCCATCCTCTTCCCTACAGTTGAGCTCCAGGACACAGCTGGGGTCCCCACAGTTCTCTGCATTACTTACCCCAGCACTCAGTCAGAGCTGTGAATGTCAGCAGGACCCTCGCCACGTTTAGAGGTACACGTGACTTCAATTGTGGAAAAAAAGTTAGAGGACGTGTAATGCATTCATTTCACACATGCAGGCCCTTCATTTGGAATACAGGAGAATGGGGACAGACAGATCAATGAACAAAGGGTCCAATCCTGACCCTGCCTGTGAGGGAAGAGCACCAGCGTTGCTTTCTGCAGGCTGTGGCATCCTGAACTTCTTAGAGAGACCAGGTGCCCCACTGAAGACATTTCTGTTGCTTAGCTTGGGAGAGACAAATTCACAGCCTGAGCCAGTGTATCAGTGAAATGAATTTTTTGCTATAACATAAAGGTTAAACTGCAATAAAGTTGCCAAGGCATCAATCCAATGATAGAGATATATAAAGGCCATCTTTTTGCTAGAGTAATTTGGCCAAACTGCACAGACTTTCCAATTTATACCAGCAAAACATACAGCCCATGGTGACAGAGCAATGTGGTCTTACAGTACAAAACCAGTGTTGATAGATAGCTACGTGCCTTGGCTACTTGCCAGACCAAATTAACCATCTGAGCTACTAGGATGGATGGCTGGGGGCAAAAATATAACTGCCATCATCTCAATATTAGGACTTGTCTAAGTACTTCATTACAACATCATTACTCTTGGATACAGACTCACACAGTGGGAAAACTTTGATTTTATTTAATTGGAACAAAGTTCTATTGGCTGACCCTGGGCCTATTACTGTAACAGATTTTTTTTAATATCAATATAAGTATATAACTGCTTTATTTTATTGCTTCTCTATACCTTGGAGATTCAGAACCAATGCCCTCATGTCAGCTCATACTGGCGGTGCTATGATCTGGATCATCATCTCTCCATCCCCGGGGGTGCACTGGTTAATTAACTGATTTCACATAAAGCGAATTAAATGTTTTCCTCCTGGCATGTGCTAGATGCACACCTGCACAGATGTGGTCAATACAAGAGCAAGCAGGGACTTGCATGAATTTGCAACACCTACCTTAATGCAGCAGGAGCAACACTGAGAAGAAGTGAGCAATTCATGCTCAGGGGTATTCATGCCAAGGGCAGGAAAGCATAGGAAAAAAGCAGCCTGCTCCCTGAACCCTGCTTTCCTCTCTGTCCTCTGAATACCTCCATCCCTGGTGTAAGAGGAGCAAACTAGAACTGCAGGGAGGTTTGGCTTGCTTGTGCTAGAGCTTGGTGGTGCTTGGCCCCCAAGAAGCACCTGTGCTTAGAGGAGAGGACCCACCTGCATTTCTGATGAGTTTGTCAAGGCTGCAGCAAGGTGTGCAGCTGATCCTCAGCATTTGCTGAAAGCCCTCTGCTTTGTGATTTAACATCAACTGTTTGCATGATTGGGCTGCAGCTGAAAGATTTCTGGTCCTGTTGCTTGTAGCGGTGTGGTAGACATTAGGGGGAGAAGGAGTAAACAATGTTGTTGCCCAGGTTTCCTTATCTCTGTTGCTTTATGACTGCTGTGTCCTTTGTAATCAGACTGAGCAAATGGAATTAATAGTTTGTAGGGCCCTGGGCTACCAAAATGACACTTCCATCCTGAGGCAAGCAGCTCAGTCAAGCTGCAGCTAACTCAGCCCAT